TTTTTTTACATTTATACCACCCAAATCTTTCATAAAACTTACCACCATTTTAACTTCTAAAAAGTAAAATATGTCTTTTCATGCATAGGTAAGGTGGTATGTAAAAACTGAAGTTTAGGTGTTAGATATGTAAATACAAAGGAAATGAGTGACACGTAAGTAAATCTTCCTAAAATAATTACCTCAGGGGATAAAATTGTTGATACTGTTGGTGGAAATGAGACAACAGAATGAAATTTGTTGAAAACAATTCTTAAGGCATCAAATTCCACATTCTTTAAGATGTCATCCGCAAGAACAGCAACCTGAAAATAAACGCTCAAAATTATTTTAAAAAATAAAATTGACAGTAGAACTGGTTATATATGAGGCTGATAATTACATCTACAACAAAAAAATTGCTCGAGTCTTAATCGGGTCATAATCAACTTGCTATAACTTGAATATAACCTTTAGTTAGATTCAATTCAAAATAGACTAGATATATGAAAAAACTACATGAACAAGCATATGTAGAAAAAAAGATATAGCATGCCTGTATAGATAATGATCAAGATTAACATGTTAAAAACATTTTATAAAATTAATAGAATGATATAGCTCAGTTCAAAATCCACGCGGCATAAACTTCGCTCAATTTTAAATCAAAATATTTCATTTTGAGAGGAGGTCAACTCACATGAACTCGACGCCATATCCGCATTGTTTATAAAGCAAGATTTACAACCCTTTAGAATGACAAAACAAAACATAACACAAGAGATGGCTTCCAAAAGTTCTCCATAAGAATAACAGTCAATAAAAAATGGCCACATAAAGGCTACAAAAGTTAGTTGCTGACTTGCCCCCAAAAGGAATTTTCTAGTAAATTTAAGATATTTCAGTCAAGATCTAACTGCAATGAGCTGACATGATAAAAAAATCAATTCAGTTCCTAAGCTCTTTTAGAATGGGTTGAAAAAATCCCTAATGAAGACTATTTTAGCCCCTATTAAAATAGTCCGGGGATAAATTTAACAGTTTTATAAACTTTAAGACTAGAACGGCCCCAGGTAAATAGTCAGGGAACTATTTTGGCACTTTACTCAATCAGCTTAATCACTTCAAAGTACCATAAATCAATGTAAAGGGCAAGTGTTATGAGTTTGAATCCCACTTTCAACAACAGAAAAATTGGAGATACAAGCAGCTGAACAATAAATATAAACAAAGAAGTTTTTGTAAATTAGCATTTGAACCTAGTAAATAAAGCCCAAATCAAAATGCCCGCTTCATATTATTATCCTTAATGGTGATAGGAGCACTGCTATTCAGATTGCATAAGAACAAGATTCATAAATTCCTAAAAAGGATTTTTTCTTCTTTCGGAATCTCAGCTTAATCTAACAATCAATAAGAATGTCTTTAGTAGCTTACATGAAAAAATCAAGAAGAATAGCCTTAGTAGTTCACAAAGACAGATAAGTGGCGAGAATTGACGGAACCAGCTCCAGCAGTTTTTTCATTCGCAAAAAGTTAAAATAATGGTGACTACTTGCAAAAAAAAAAAGAAAAAGGAATAAGATAGGCTGATGTTTACTTTATTATTGGAATTTGAAGAGAGAAAATGAAGAGAGAGATCCTTAGATCCACTGCTTATGAGTTCTTGAAGTTTTATAGAGAAAAAGTGAATACATTAAGGAAATAAAAGGCAAATAACAAGAGGACACAGATGTGTTACACATTAGTTTGGAAAGTTTGAAATTGTTTTGTTTCATCGGCTGAAAAATGGAGTCTTGATAATGATTGCACATAAGGATTGTTTCTCTTGTAATATGTCATTTAATTGGCAAGATGACACTTCTTGTGAAAATTGTTGGAATAGATACAATTTAGATCAAGAAATAGGATGCAGCTGTAACAACTTCAAGAGAAGCAAAGCTCATGCAAAAATTAAAGAAAATCTTGCATCCCGAGGTTGTTTGGACTCCAATGAGTACACA